GTACGTTCATCGCGCGATTTCTGACGAGCATACACGATGTCCGACCATCTAACGGTAACAGAAAATTAATGCACCCGCGGAATCCGAGGACAAGAAATCGTACAGATCGCGCGTTCAATAATTCGCTGTGTGTCGCTCTATGCGTTGCACTAGGAAAGAGTTGCTGCCGTCGCAGCCCACGGTTGTATCGTAATTCGTAGTAGCTGTACCGTACGCGCGTCGCAGTTCGAACGCAGTGCTCGTACTGTCCGCCCGCCACTCGCGCGCCGCAGAGATGTGTAAAACCAAGCGGCGGCGGCAGATCGTGCGCCGTGAGCCAGCCGAGACCGACCGACCGCCCGTCCGCCCACCGTTGCGCACAAAGGACTCGCGCACGCCCCGTGTGCACCTTCTACACATAACAACACACGATATATAGAATATTATAGTAAATCCCGTTGTATACATTTTACTACGCCCTGCTCCCCGTCTCCAGACCGCTGTTCCAGCGTCGGTCACGGCCTCGCCGCCACCGCCGTAAGAATAACGCGCGTGTTTACGCGACAGTGTGCGTGTGCGCGCGCGTGTCTATACCCGCCAGACGGCTGATAGCTAACCGCGCGCGCGCTCGGCCTGATCCATCGGAGCCAAAGGTACGGGATAACGACGCTACGCGCAGAACGGCCGTGCAGTCGCGCGCGTCCAAACGTTCATCAATAGATCACTGATCATTTTCGCTATTCGTCTGTATGATTTTTTTCACCCGTCCATAAATATTATCCGAACACAAAATAAATATTATAAATATTATCATTACACCGTTTGCAGTAGACTATATCCAGGGGTGATATTACTCCTCCCCGAAAAAATTTTTGCATTTATTAATTATTTACTCCTATGGCATGCCGCATATCATATAACACCCCCGAAAATGAACGACACTCTCCCCCCTTCGAGATAAAAGGTCTGAAATAAACACTCGATTTCTTATTAACTGTCCTGCAGCAGAGTCGTAGTTAATGCGCTTCCAGACAAACGATCAAACGCTGATACAAGAAAAAATCATCAAGAATAACATACGGGACTTTAAATTGTGTACGTTCATACCAGAGCGATTACATGTAGATATCCTAAGCATATTTACACTTGTATTGCCGTCTCAGAACCGTTAAGTGCCACCGACGGAACTCACATCAACACCGCTCCGCACTCGTTCGCGGACGAGACAACGGTGGCGGTGGTGTTGTTTTGTGAATGAACGTGTATTATACGCGCGCGTACTGCAGAATTGAACCCGTGGGCGGTGCTGGCAGGGTGAAGGACACGAGGGCCAGCCCCCACCCAACTGTCGGTAATAGACCAACATGCACGTATTACATATGCTTGGTGTGTGTGCGTGCGTATCACGTACGTCTATTTGCCAAGGCGGTGATGATCGCTAGTCTTTTTTTTCTCTTCAAAACAAACTTAGGCCGCGCATATATTATAGTCCGTTTTATTTTTACCTGTTGAGACCAACTGCGGTACACGGTATATTATGATTGAAAGCGCATCGGCATGAGGTTTCGCTTCGTCTCGAGGCAAAATAGGACAGACGAGTGTACCTAACGATATCCCAAATACACATGTATCTAACTCCAGTGATTACGGAATTATGTTTTTAACGTGAAGTATCATCTATTTCTAGAAAAAAAAAAAATTTATTAAATTTTTTTATTATTATTCATGCAACCAAGGGCGCACCCAAGGGGGTGGCTAACGGGCTTTAGCCCCCCCCCCCATAATGGGTAGCCCCAAACATTTTGATAATTTTATTAGGTTTATTGACAATTGACATTTGACTTTAAATTATTATAAAAAAAATTATCAACTATAGTATATCAATTATTTTATTTAAGCCACCTTCCTACTTAAGAATCATTTGAGTATTCTTTAAATAAACTTTTATTTTTCTGCAAACGTCTGAACCAACTTTGTTCTAAATGGAATTTACAGCAAACTATTTTACATTGCGGAAAACTCTGAAGAACAGCATTGTGTGCAGCTTTAAGATTTCTGTACATATTTAAAAATAAATACTACCTATTAATATTAAAATTATTTGAATTTAGCCCCCCCCTAAAAAAAAATCCTGGATCCGCCCCTGCATGCAACTGATATAATATGGAATGTTTCAAACAAAAAAATACTACGAATGCATAAAAAATTCACCCCTCTACTACTCCCTCCTATGTTGCTCTTTGCATTGATCTACTAATGATTTCCAATAATGTTTTAACAAAAATTAAATATATATAGTTTCCCCGGTACCTAAATAGTCGGATTCAAGTTAAAATATTAACTCTTTACGATTAAAGTATAGTAATTTAGTGGCTGCAGACGACTGATACATTTCACGTGCACTTGCAATCATAATTATTGTACAGTGTAATTGTACAATCTTGTCCGTACACACATTGTATTACTTTTTCGTGCATTGGCGTATATATTATATATATTTACAAATCTCCTCCTCCCTTCACCATAATAACTTTCTCGCGTTACTAAAAAAATTTCGTTTCCGCGTTCCGTTAACGTATATTATTCATTCTTAACTTCTTATAGCCATGGCTATAAGAAGTTAAGAATTCGTAAATTATAATTTATGATAACTTATGTTAGCTAAACCGGTATTTACAGTTGTAAATAATGATAGATAGTGGCGCTGAACTACTTTTTAGTAGGTGGTGCAATCACAAATTTCAACCACCTACCACCCTTACCTGGAAGTACTCAAAAATATTATTTAGATTTAAGTTTAAGGTCCATGTTCACATTAAGTAGGTACCTACCACCTAATAACTTCTAGCAATGAAGTGTCAGTTATTCAAAATTATACAAACTCAGTACCAAGGGCGTATTTGAGGAAGGGTGAAGGGGGCATTCGCTTCCCCCCCCATGACTCGTATTTTTAATGAATATAATACATTGATTTATTTAAAAAATGTAATGTATAAATAATTAAGAATATAAATTACTAGTCTATCATTATAATATGTTATCATTATAACAGAAACATGAACTGTAGGTATACCTTATTATAATGAACTTTAAATTATTTTTAAGTTTTTATTGAAGAAAATTAGTTTCGTTCCCCTCCCATACCCTCAACAAAAATACGCCCTTGCTCAGGATCAACCTCCCCTCCAATTTTAGGTGGTGCAAATTCACCACCGCCAGTACGTATTCGGCGGCAGTTAGTCCGAGGACTATATTATCTTCGTATCACAACTATTTTAAAGTTGATTCAGTAAAAGCATTTTTATACCATTACTATATTGCCAATTGGTAATTTTTTCTCACTATCGGCAATCAAATAACACAAATAATACTAATACCAATGTAATTCAATTGTATGTACATAAAAATATTATATTTTTATATATAGCTGCATATAAGTGTTTACATTTATACATCGTAAATGTATAAAAAAAAGTTTAAAAACAATTATTCATCCAATCAGCTAATAAAGTAATTAGTTTTTCAGTAGGAATAAGATAAAATGCAAAATAGGTTTCCTTCTTTATTTTCGTTTGCATTAAAAGGATACCTTGATCGTGAATTAAAGTGAATCAATTTATTATAATTAAACCGGATATGGATTCAGTTATAAGAAATGTGTAGGTTATTTACTCATAATGATGTATAAATAATTAAAACAAATTAATTACTACATGATAATGTACTTAAATTAACGACCTCATCATTATTCAGTTATCCAGGTCAGCAATCTTATAATACATTTTGAACATTAACTCTATATTAATTGTTCATGCTGACCAAATTACTAATGACTCTCCAAAATATAAATTCAATAATATATTATCTGATAGTCTGAATCTCTTAAAATAAATATTTAAATTATAAACATCAGATTATACTAAGTGTAATGAAAAATTATTAATAGAAATACCTATTATATTTTTTTGATATTAATATTACTTTGTTTTATTTTGAAGATTGAAGATTGAATTTAATTGAAAGGTGTAGCATTCTACACGCTTCAATCAAATTTTATACGACTAAAAAAAGTATATTATAATTATAGTAGTAAAAATAGTTAAAATTCTTTGTGAATATTTTAAAAAGGAAAGTAGGTACTTATTTTACATATCCGATGATGTATTACGTGTTTATTACAAGTAACGCACCTCTTAATTTTATTTTTTCATCAACTAGAAAATATATATATATATATATATTTAAGTAACTTTTAATCGTAGTATTTACAGAAAAATATTATTCAATTATTATTATAGCGTATGACATAATATCCCGGAGTGGTCAACATTTAGTATAAAAATAGCAGAAACAAATTAGAATTAATAAAGTAAAATAAATAATTATATGCAAATTATAATTATCTTTAAATATTTTAACTGCCCAAAACTATATGGGTGGCAATAACAAACAACCAACCTCTAACCTCGTAAAATTCCAGAGGAATTACTATACCTAAATAGTGGACCCCTAGAAACCCTACAATACATTAGTATTGTATAGGCAAACCATATATTATTTATTATTTTACTTCATTACATTATTATAGGTCAAAGAGGAAATAAATGAAATATTTGAATTGCAAAAGCAAGACTCTTTTTAATTGTATTAAAAGTGAGATTTGATTTTAACTCAAACGACCTACGCACTAATATTTTTTATTCAAATTATCACAATTCACAGATGAGGATTGATACATTAGTGAATACAATTTTTTTTCGAATTGTGTTGACATTCCTATAAACGTAACTAAACTGGCTACTGCGGAATGCACTTTGCATTCACTTACTGTACATTACCAAATTAAATGTCTTATAACTGTTGCAGCACTGCAAAATGCAGAATGCAAGAGTCAACGTTGTACATCAGTTGCCAACATCATTGATGACAGTCATTCATTCACTTTTAACCGGTGGCCTGCAATCATGTTATGTTGGTGAACTTGCCAGAAATGTTTACGTTCCAAATTGTAAGTGATAAAATACACGTGATTACTAACATTTACATGTTCACGATAACAACCAAAATAATAATTAAAAAAACGTTCGGCTCTCTCATTCTTCAGCAAGTCGGATAACTCCTGTAATTTATATTAACAATTTAATTCTTCTTGAACAGCAAAATTATATACTCTTTAATATCAAAAATGGTAAGTACTCATTTCCTGTCTGTAATTTACATAAGTTCAAATTAACAAAAAAATAAATGATAAATAGTAATTTTGAATGTTTTTAAAATAATAACATATTTCCAGACTAAAACTAAAAAAAGTAAAAAAATTCTCAACAAACAATTTGCTGCTATGAAAAAGACTATTAAACCAACTGATTCGAGAATGTAAGTCATTTTGTTATTTTAATCGTATATATTGTTCAATTTTAATATTTATTACTAATAACCTATTATTTTTTTTAGAAAAGAAGAAAAAAGAACGATTATAAAGAAAAAAAAAACTGAAAATAAAACTGTCTCTGTCCGTCAAGTGTAACTATTAACATTTTTAAGCAAATTGTTTACAAATTGTAACAGTTAAATAATCTCAATATGAATTATATTTTAGAGCTCAAACAAGTTCAGCTTTGTTCTTCGAATTTAACACACAACTAGGTCCTCCATATCACATCTTAGTAGATACTAATTTTATTAGTTTTTCTATAAAATATAAAATGGATGTTGTTCAAAATATGATGGATTGTCTCTATGCTAAATGTAAGCAAATTATATTATTTATTTATATACATTGATACTCATTTAGAATATTATTTTAAGTATGTATTTGTTTGAAGGTATACCATATGTCACGGATTGTATTGTTGGTGAATTGGAAAAATTAGGACAAAAGTATAAAATAGCATTGAAAATTGTAAAAGATCCTCGTTTTCAAAGAATACAGTGTATGCATCCAGGTACATATGCTGATGATTGTTTAGTTCAACGAGTAACACAAGTAAGTGATTAATTGTTATTGATACATATCAATTTTATTTAAGTTATATATTTATTATATTTAATAATATTTTTTCTTTTCTTAGCATAAATGTTATATAGTTGCTACATGTGATAGGGATTTAAAAAGACGCATAAGAAAAATTCCTGGAGTTCCAATAATGTATATTGCTCAAAGACGGTAAGTTTACTATTTAATATTTTAATTATAATTATTTTTTTAATTTATTTTTTTTTTTCAGATATACAATTGAAAGAATGCCAGATGCTTATGGTGCTCCTAAAAAATAATTTTAATGTGTATGTATGAATATTACTTATAATTTGATCTTTATTTAAATTAAATACAATACAATTGTTAACTTGTAATATTTTAGTATTCAATAACTCTGTTCTTTTAAAATTTTTGAATGTTTGAAATAGTTAACAAATAAAAAGTATTATTTAAATATTATTATTATATGTTTATATCAATTTTTAAATAAATAATTAAACATTTTATGTGCCTAAAAAAAATGTTAACTAAAATGTTAACTTATTTGTAGAAATAGCACTAGTATAATATTTCTATAATTATAATTTTTCATTAAATTACTAAATATTAAACTTGAGTTAATGTTTCCTGAATTGGTATAATATATTTTTGTTTGGTCAAATTTAAATTTTCAGATTCTATTTTCACAGTTACAGTTGTGCAATGGTTTTGAAATGTTCATACAAACATGGATGTATCTGAAAAGAAAATGTTTTTATTACATTTGTTGTAATGACGTGTTGAATTAATTTTGAGAAAGGAGCAAAATGTATATTAGGTAACCTTTACCCAACTGGTGGCTTTATGTACGATAATATACCAAAATAATAATAATAATTAAATAAATAATATAAAATAATAATAATAATAATCGTAATATACCAAAATATAACATTTAATGTTTACAAAATATACCTATATTTGTAATTCATATGGAGTGCATATGTTCTACCTCATTTTATGAAATTCCAGAGGATATATTAGTGGAAAACAACTGACACAGATTGGGTGAATATTAAACCCTGACGATTAACAATTATTTACGTACGTGTCGCCAACCCTTCCCAATTAAAATATTGACATTTTTTTTCATGTCAGCATTTAGCAGCCAATTAGCAACAATTTGCAAGAATATAATTAAGAATTAATTTATATTTATTGTAAATATATAAAATAATAATTATAAAAGTTATAAGAAAATTATATTTTGATAAAATCTAGTGTTTCCGCGATAAAATCCAAAATCATTAAAAAATGTATACCACCTCTAAAGAAAATTCATATAAATATATAGTGAACTTTTCATGTTCCATTACGATAATTACTATTTGAATTATATTTAAAAAGAAAAATGAAAGTCGGCAGTCAGTAAATATTGCCGTTTTTTGCCATTTTTCATTACTTTTCCGCAATTATTGGAAAAACTGTTAAGAAATTCAAAAAATTACTTCTCTAGTCTCCAATGAACCAACTAGAAAATATTTTCTAACTAAAACACATCATGCTAAAATTAATATATTTCTCGTTTCAATCGGAATCTAAAATTATTTTATGTAAATTATTTTATTTATTATCTTTTTTTGATAGTTTTTTTATTTTTCAAATTATAATATCTACAATAATAATCTTATGAATATATTTAAAAAAAATATCTTTTGTTAACAATTTAAAAAAATCGAGACAAAAAACAAAAATGTGGGAATTTTCTTATCATACTTAAATAAATACTATTTTTTAGTCAGTATAAATAATATTTATGATAAATTCTAAATAAAGCATTACCTATATTATGTTTATTGGCAAATAATAGCACCAAAACTTTGAAAATTATTATTATTAAAATATTACCCAAATATGTAATAAATATGTGTATATTGTATTATAATCAATTCATTATCTGAGCATACTGTAGTGCGCTGGCCAAGTTTCAGCAAAGCCAATGTATCTTTACACGAATCAATTCGCCCGGTTGTTCTAATCCATATATCTCTGTTTCCTCTTAAGATAAACTTTTGAAATTTAAAACATAGATTAATCTCGAGTAGCTTAGGACGCTGTTAGAAAATGCCCTTAATATTTTACCGTTTCGAAATGGGAGGATTTCAAAATTTGCAATTTTGTTACCGACTCACTCACTGATCATCAAATGTATAAGACACTTTCAGTATAGAAACGTGAAATTTGGCACAAAGGTAGATTTTACAGTTAAACTAAAGGGAAAAATTAAAAAATTAAATTTTTTTTTTAAATTAATGCCGCTTTAGATAGTGTATTTCTAAACCTATAAAGTGGCGCGCTAAGCACGCATAAACGTTTTCTTTTAAACAACGTTACAATATGGTAATAAGAAATTGTTTGTAGTTGAATTATATACATATATTTATAAAACATAATTATGTTTTCGTAAATTTATTTTATTCAAATATAAAATATATCTAATATAATTATTCAAATACAGAATATTTGTAATACTTGTCAGTATACGGACGATAATTTTAAAATACGTAATTTTTTTTTTACGTTTAATTTGTATTTAAGTTCGAAATCATCAGCCGAGTTTATGTGCACCGACATCATTCCCCATTTACTTAGCTTATGCCATTACCATCTATAAGAGTCAGGAATTAAGTTTGCTAAATGCTTTGTTAGATTTGGCCACTCAACATTGTCGTGTGGTCAAGCCATAGATATGTATAATAACTAGTCAATATTATTTTGGCGGAAACGGGAAACTCCCGAAAAACCAACAGTGTTTTTTTGCAGTCTGCATTTATATTACTTTTAACTTTATTACTTAAAATATAAAAAAAATATAATAATAAATAATAATAAAATAAAAAACGATTAGGAACTTACTTAAAATATTTATTCTAGATTACCATTTAAAAACATTAATGTTTCCATATTTTTTATTGAAAGTCTATTACGCCTGTCAGTTTGCGTATATCCGGTTTTAGAAAACGTTCGTTCGCATGGAACTGATGTTGATGGAACTCCCAATCTTTGTAACATTAAATCGTATATATCAGGATATATTCGTTTCATTTCCTTCCACCATATAAGAGTATCTGATTTTCTCGGGATCAAAGGTTCATTAAGAAATTTATCCAATTCCACAATTGCATCAGAAGTGTCGGTTCTCACTGTTGTAACTTCTATTACCTAAAAAATATATATGTATTATGTAATAAGATATTTATTTATTATCATATATTATCGTTATTTAATAAATTGTTTAAAAATTTAATTTATTATTCATACCTGTGAATCAAAGTCTTTCCATATCTCAAACGTTTCTTTTTTTTTCGGCTGACATAGTGGTTTTTTCTTCATCTACAACTAAATTTTTCTCTTGAATTATGGATTGTCTTATATGTTTGATTATATTTGAAATCTTTCCTGCAATGTTTTGATATGTACGTTTATAATACACTTCGCTACTAAATCCTTTTTTTTTTAAAACGTAGATCAATTAAAGTAGCTTCAGTAAAAGTCGAATTGTCTTCTATACTGGAAAATCTTTTCGGCAATTTTTTCCATTTTTAAAATCATAGAAAAAATACACAATAGTAAATTTTCCACATTTCACATTGTTTTTATGTGCAATAGTAATGCATTATTGAGAACTATAACTTTTGAAATTGAGACTCCTTTTTTCTAAACTTAACTCGATCGTTACTTCTTTAAAGGGCTTAAAAAGCTTTTAATAATATTCCATTAAAATAAAACCTAACGTTGTTAACATTTTTGTATTACCAATCATTGCCAATGTGGAAACGAATGGATCTTTTGTTTCTAAACACGTATTAAATATATCATAAGTCGAGTTCCATCTCGTTATCACTTCTTGTTTATGTTTTAACATTGGATAATTCAACTGAATTTGTGCATTTTTTAATTTTACAGCTGTTTTAGAACTACGCTTAAAATGATCTACGATTTTTTTTTTAACTTTTTATGTACTTCTTTAATTTCTTCTAATCCACATCAGGCAATCAAATTAATGCTATGCGCTAAACAATGAATGTGTTTCCAATTATTATTTAAGTTTATTGCAACTGTAATATTATTAGCGTTATCGCTAATAGCTATTTTAACTTTGTTTGTAATACCCCTTCAAATACCTCTTCAAAACAATTGTTTAAAAATGTTGACAAATTGATCGCTGTATGTGATAGTTCAAAATAATAACATCCTAGTAAATGAGATTTTAGAACACATAGTTCATTATCAATAAAATTAACTGTAACAGCGACGTAACTTTCGTTATTAACACATGTCCAACCGTCCGTACTCATTGCTATATATGATGTATTATCTAAACTCCTTTTAACATTTTCTTTAGTGTTTTCTAATAATTGAGGTAATATATTATAAGTAATTGTTTTCTACTTGGGAAAGAATAGTTTGGATTTAATAATGAAACAAATTTTTTAAATTCTTTATTTTCGACAAACTAAACGGTTGGTATTCTTTAGTCATCATTATACCTAACTGTTCATCAATTTTTTTTAGATTTCGAAATAGGCATCAGCCTTGCTGTATACGTGTCTATTGATACCTATGTTTTCGTAACGTTAGTTGTTTTATTTTTAATTATAGGTGTAATAGTAGTCTTTCAATAATAATAAAAATAAAAATAGTTTTATTGAACAGCATCTCTAAAATATTACTTTGATATAATATATCCACTTTTTCAGTGATAAAATGTTATCTATTATCTAGTTTTGAAATATTCCAAAATATTATGAACATGTGAACGACACAGTATATTGTACAACAACACTTTTGTACTTATTTGGTATATTTGACCATTTAAACATAGGGCTGAAATGGAACGAAGGAACGAGTAAAAACGTTCGGGTGGAATCGTTCCTAATCGTTCCTCTATTGGACTCATTCATTTGGAACGATTCGTTCAGGAACGACCCATCATTAGTACTCATTTGTGACTCACGTGGGTGATAGGGAGAAGAGAACTTAGAAAAAAGAAAAAGGTTTCGATTTCTTCTCAAAAAAGACAGCGAATCATAGTAGGTAGTGGTATCTACCTTGGTAGCCAAGTCTAGTTTATGCCTTATTCAGAAACTGGTTAAGTGTCAAACAAACAAATAAAGGAAGAGTGTTGCTCTTTAATGTAGAAGTACAGTGAGGTTATGAATTAAAAAATACCAGACTTGGCCACAATGTAGATTTACACTACTTTGATTGGGTGACTTTTTTTGGGAGGGAGTTTGGAATTTGGCATTTTTTCACCGTTTGATTTTTTCTGAGGATCAATTTTACACATTTCTAATAAAAAATTAGTTTAAATGAATTCTGACAATTCAGTAACGTAGGACTGAATTATTAACATAAACATTCTGTCTATATATTACAATTACCTTTTATTTATTGATAAAATAACATAATAATATTAAATAATAATAATAATGTTTTTATAATTGCATAACACAGATATAATATTCCGACATTTGAACATCATGTATAAAACTTTTTTAGATTAAATAAAGGGATGTTTCCTTGATTTATGTTTTTTAAACTATTCAACAATAAATAAATTACCCTTCTCTTTTGAGTTAGGCTGATCCAAAATACTAAAATCATAGTAATACCATTCATTTCGATTTTAAATAATAGTAAATTAAAAATGAAACAAATATTAAATGAAAGTTAATCACTTTAGATATATCTTGTATCTACGAATATAATATCAAATTATTAAAATAGTACATTTCACTTACGTTTTTCATTATTATTTGTAATAATGATTCTGTCTTTAAAATGAAGCACTGCTTCAACAATCACATCGGGAGGAATTGCTGGCTTCGTCCTTTCATATTGCTCAAAATATGCACACCACATAGATAATTTAAATTGGACCGTTATTGAAAAACAATTTTACATTCATAAATTTACTGAAGTTTAAATATGACAAGCAAATTATGTAGAAAATTATTGGAAAACTTTTACATATTTTTTTATTATGGACAGTGTTATTTTCAACCTTAAATATAGGTCTTCTGATGAAAACTTGGCTATGACCAGTTCGGTTGTAGTTCATTTTGTAAATTAGATACAACTGATTCAATGAAGTTTATAGGTCATTATAAGGTACTTTGGTAATATATATGTATATAAATATATTTTAATTGTATAAGAGATTAATGATAACTAATTAATTAATTATAATAACTATAATTATAGAAATTACTACATATCTCAAAGAGTAGCTTAGAAGCAGAAATTAGAGTGGCATTTAACCCTTTAAATAGTAAAAAAAAAAGATTTCAATATAAATGATGTCAAAGAAGTCGAAAAACAAATAGGTACTTTCAAGCTTTTCTAAACTTTTACAAATGGCTTTATCTATTCCTATAAATTCAGCCACCTATGAAAGGTCGTTCTCTCATTGAAGACAATAAGACGAATAAAACATTGCCTTAGATCTTCCATGGCCCAAGATCGATTTACAAATTTATCTACTTTAAATATAAAGAGAGATGTAACCAACAAATCAGACGAAAATGAAATTGTAAATAAATTTGCTGAAAAAAATTGAAAAATATTGTTAATTTAAATAGGTTTTATAATAAAAATATAATAGCTATGAACTATATACTTCATTGATTATATATGTATATCCTTCTTATTCATGTTTATTTAGGTAACTAGTCTGTAAGTAGTAAGTGACTAAGCGACAACATTTTACTTCGAAATAAACTATTAACGACTATAGGTAAGGTCGTAAGGACTTCTAATTAATATAAATATAAATTTTAGTGTTGACAATCAATTTTGGTGGTGTGGGGACGAAGCCCCCCACGGGTCGCTGGTATCATTAAAATTTAGCCCACCCAGAAATTGAACTCTAGTTGCACCTATGTATCGTACCCATGGTTTTTTAAGTTTTATGATAAAACTAAAGTCTTGCAAATTGTTGCTAATTGACTGCTAAATACTGACATGAAAAAAATGTCAATATTTTGATTGGGTGAGGTTGGCGATACGTACGTCAATTATTTATTAATAATGTAAGAAAAATTGTTTTATTTTGCAAGAACCTATCTTAAGTTATTTGATTGTACCTAAATAATAATATTCTAAAAAATACAAGTTTATAATTTTTACTATATGTGCTAATGAAATAAATTTAAATTAGTTTATTGGAATAATATACTTAATTTTGTTTTCATAAACTAAAAATTAAAATTACATTTTAATAACAATATTTAATAGGGATAATTGGGGCTGACCACGTGTATTTGAAAATAAATGTAAGTCTAATATGAACCTATAATAATTCAGCCATGCATTTACACCACAGAGAATTATGTATTGTAGAAAAATCGTGAGGAAATTTAAAAGTATACTATTAAGAATGTCTCCACTTTAAAAAGATGATTATAAATAAATGTTTTAAATAATTATTATAGTAATAATAATACTAATAATCTGATTTGATTTTTTATAAAAGAATCTAAAAAATATAGTTTTTAATGAGTTTAATTTTAAAATGGGACATTTATGAAAAGCATAACAATATTTTCGGAACAGTGGCGTATTTAGGTGGAAGAGGGGGGTGATTAGGGAGATATATTTCCCCCTTGGTTTTTTTTTTTTTAACATCCGTGTTTAACTTCAATTACTTGAAATAAGATTGAAAATATTAATACATAAATAAACAAATGGTTTATAGAAATAAATAAACTCTTTGTTTTTTAATTTTTAATTTTAATTAATTTATTTATTGTTTTATTATTGAAAATATTATATATTTAAATTAATATAAATGAGTTATAGTAATCATTAAAAATGTATAATATTTACTACCCACTGTATTTTAAGAGGAAGGAAGAAAATAATAGTCATATCTGCCCCTCAAAGAAATCCTAAATATGCCACTATTTTGAAATGATAAGTAATAACACAATTTTAATATGTGTACTAAATAAAATATATATTTAATGTTTCGGTATATATTTATATATTTCGAGCTATATTAAGCACACAGTAAAAATTATTGTAGTAGGTAACAGTATAAATGTATGTCAAATTAAAAAGTTAACCCCATTTCTAATTTATGTTATCACAAGTATATCAATTAGCTATTATAAATGATAACCACTTATAGATATTATTTATTTTTCAGTGTAAAATGTAAACACTATTTTCAGACAATATCTGTAATTTTTCATGATTTAAGATCTTAAATCTTAAATCTTAAATCACGGGCTTTATCTAAATCTTAAATCATGACCTAACTATGGTTATGCCATTAAATTTTTATTGATTTTACTAAAATCAAATTTTCGAATTATTCTTATATTTTAAATACTATTTGAAAACATTATGTTGAGTTATTTAATTATTAATATGTATTAAACGATGAATGATGCAAAAACATTTGACCAATTACCTGTTGAGGTTAGTATATTTTTTTTTAAATTCAAAGAAAAAAAAAATGTATTTTGTTGATTATTTACTTAATTATAATGGTATTCACTTTTAATTAATTCATATTATACAGATATTAAATTATACATTTTATTGAAGTATATTTAATTTTAATTTAAAATGTTTTTCATTTGTATTCACAGGTAATTTCTCATATTTTTCTATTTTTGCAATTTGGAGAAAAAAAAATTGCATCAACTGTTTGCTGGTCCTGGTACGAAGCTTCTATTCACCCGATGTTCTTAAATAATGAAGTTATATGTCTTAAAGATATGGATAACCAAGAAATTCAAGAAGCACTCAAAGTATACACTAAGAGCTTACGTGCTTTTTTCACATTTAAAATATGTGGTCTAGGGATTTCATTTCAAAATAATGATGAAGATGATCCTGAAATATTAATAAATGAAAATCATTGGGTGAAGACAGTTTGGCCTTTATTAGCAACAAAAGTATTTTTTTTAGAATTTTTTGATACTGTTGAATTTATTGATGACATATTACCAGCATTACTAAATGAAACTCAACACTTGAAAGCATTAAAAATTCATAATCTTCAGTATAGTCCTAAAGAAGAGTTGCACAAAGTGAAAAGATTACAGTTACTTGAAGAATTAACATTAGATAATTTGCAAACAGATAACATTGACAATGATAAACTATTTGGAATTATACCAAAACAATTACGTAAAATTTGTTTGAAATCCATGTGGTGCAGTAAATTTATCATTGATGATATTAATAAAGTATTAAATTATTGTTCATTTTATCTTGAGACCCTTGAACTTATTAATATAGATGTAACACCTGAATTGATGCGATCAATAGCAAGTCTTGGTATGAAGCTGAAGCGATTTTGCTTAGTTATAGCAGATTCTATGTACTATGATCATGAACCACAAATTATATGGCCACTTTTTAAAACTCAATGGCCATTAATTGATTTAACTTTACGTGCTGATTGCTTAACTAATGAACATTTATATATTATAACTAATACATTCAAAAATTTAGAGAAATTATCGGTGTCCAGTGATTCTGCTACTTGTAATGTAACTAAAGATGGAATAGATTCATTTGTTACTTTAAAAAAATTAAAAACTCTCTACGTAGGATTTGGGAGGGAGTACAGTGCTTATGGAGCATTTTATTAGCAGTATAATCCCCAAATGCTTGGTTTTTTAATTTTTGGTATTATGACCACAATTTGATGAAATACATTTTTTTTTAAAAAGCTTTTATCAACTGCTGAAAAACAATTTACTTGTTATTATCAGTGCATAAGGTTGTGTGTTATAATACCATATAAAACATATATATTTAACATCAATACATAAAACAATTAATATGAATATTATTATTTCTAGACATAAATACCACATAAGTACTTGTATTAAAAATTGATTAATTATACAACTAATTAAATGTAATTGATAAATAATAAAATCAAGATATAAGTAAACAAGCCATGCTATTTATTGTGAACATATTATTAAAATAAAGATTTTCATTTTATTATAATAATGTTTTTATCAAGTTAAATATTATGTTGTTCTTTATAATAAATAAATATTCTAGTAATATTTGCAAATTTTTAAGAATATTTTTGTGTTTATGACAACTTAATTGAATATAAATATTTAAAATTTAAGCAAATTGATATCGCCCCTACATTTTAGAATATACAATACTATATAATAATTCTGAATATTTAGTTAAATTATACAATAGTACATAAGTATCATTATAACCTATTAAGTATCTTAATTTAATTTTGTTGAAAATTGTATTTGTAAACATTAGTAATTTTATTGATTACAGTATTTATTTATTCAGTTGATAGAAATTATAATTTTCAGTTACATAAAAATTGTATTAGGTACATTTACATATTTCTAAAAAAAAAAAAAAAAATGGAAAAGCATTGGAGATCAGTAATATCATTCATTACTTATATAATAAATTTATAATCAATTATATAACATTGAGTTACCAAATTTTAATGTAAGAAAAATATACCGTCTAATAAACAAATTTAACTGTAAAACACTTGAATAATCAGTGAATTTGAAAATATTGTCTAAGGCAGCGATCATCTAATGGTAAGCCGAGGACAAATTTTATCGAAACCGCAGACAAGGAAAAATAAATAAAATTCGATAATATAATACATTGATACATTGGTTTATTACTGGCGGAATCAGATATTATACTTGTTGCCAATCATATCTTAAAGTTTGAATGAGTATAGAATTTTTTCTACGGAATATGCCGATTACACGTCAAGGACAGTTCGTCAATTACTATCGACCCGTGCATATTTTAACTAATATATTAAGCGACATAATTGTCTCCTAATAAATATTTTTTGACGTCAGGTTCTATCTAATACTGAGCGACAACGATGCTTTGGCAAAAATGAAGACATTTGTAATTATTTTATAATTTTATCACACGGCCTATTTTTGTGTGTAATACGAAGTCACACTCTGTGTATAGTGTTTTATGCCTTTACGGCTAGTAAATATCAATTTTGTATTTATTATAATTTGTTAATTTACTTTTCTGTAAATAAAGCTCGTGTGTAATAATAGCTATAATGATAATAATATTTAACAAGCACGATTATAGATAACACAATCTTTACCAAACGGAGTTCCTCATTCAATATTGCATGGATAAATCCGCATTTATTTTGTGGTATATGTATTTTTTCACTGGAACCAATTGTCGTAAAACTATATGTTGTATTTACGGAAAATCTATGATTGCGGTTGAGCATGAATCATGATACCTATATTATTATTATTTTCAAACAATTTTGAAATTAATTATTATGTAGTTACTACTAGTTAGTTATTATATACCTATTTGTTCAGACGACAGACATTGAGTTTCATTATATTTTATTGTAATATTTATGTTATAATATAGGTAGTGTTTTAATTATTAGGTAAGTTTTGATTTTTATATATTGTCATTATGGATAAGTGGCTAACACGTTCATCAAACATTTACTGTATGTATTATGTCTAGAATTTTTATATATAATTTAATACTAGATTCTAGAATTGTATGAATTATACAGTTTTTGGATTTCTTAAAATATTGTAGATAGGTATACCAATTGTAAATTGTTTTCTAATGAATTGTATTGAGTTTATGACTTATGTATAGTTTTATATTATTATATTTGAAGTGTAGTAGCACACATCATATAGGCATTATTCATAAACCATATTATCTATTTTAATTATATTACATTAATTATAAAATAATAATTTATAAATTGAAATGTTAACATTAAAATTATTCCATTAATGTATGAAAATAAAATAACAATAAGTTATTGCTATATTAATATTATAGTATAAAGCTGTATATAGGTATTATACATTTTAATTGAGAAGGTAATGTATTTAAAATAATAAAAAAAACTAAATTTATTTTTGAAATATCTATTTAACATTTTACTATTTTACTTTTGTTGTAAGTGGCCTATAACACTTTTAATATTATTATACCTTTTACTTTTCTGCCATCATATATTTAATAAAACTAAAACACCTACCTATCTTATTGGTTGTTTTATTTTGATAGATTTTATGAATTATAATAAAGTGTAATGCTTAATGTTCTGGGATATTAAAATTAAATTATCTATAGGAATATTACTTAAATTAGTTTTCTAAATTTAGGCTATAGTAATGTTATAATTAAAAATGAAGAAACTATGGAAAAAAATTCTGAACAAGCAATTAATTGTGATCAAACTCAACTGGAATGTAGTAAAAATATTTATTCAGATAATAATGAGGTAGAAGAACCTGGAGTTGTTAATGATAAATAATGGATAAGATTAAACATAAATAAATGTTTTGAAAAAATAACATCATTTAAAGGAAAAAGTAGAAAATTTTTAAGGTATAATATATGCTTTAGAAACCCTAAAACTGTAATGATGCATTCAATACAAAATAATCATTTACCCGCCATTTGTTCTGAAGGAGGAACATTACCAAGTACTACTGTTCTGAAAAATCATTTGAACTCCAGCGAGCATATTGAAAGTGTAAAAGTTGATAAGTTTAAAAAAAATTTTGTTTCCAAATTAGTTCATATTGCTCCATTAAATAAAATTATTTCTTCACAAAATCAAAAGTTATCACATAAAATTGGAGAAATTATGTGTCCAGCATATAACGATGCAAAACGAGGTACCTTAAGTGCATGGTCTTGGCCTTCTCGTGAAGTTACATTGATGAAATGGAAAAATCTGAATATTAATAATTTACCTTGGAGATTTGCAATATATTACACCAATTAATCATAAGGATATTTTGAAATGTTTAGTTAAGTCTGATTTAAAAAAATTATTTGATAGTTGTCTGGCGTTGCCATTAAGAGTGGATGGATCAGTAGATAGGATGCAAATTGATAACATTCATTTACTAGCAAAAGTAGTTTTAAGTGATGGTGATGTAAGATTATTTTTTATTGGTTTTGAAGAACCGGAAGAGAGAGGAGCACTTGGATACTATAAAGTTATTAAAAAGCAGTTGAGCCAATCCTTACGTGGTCAAATTTGTCATCAAAGATGTCTTCAATTGTTACTGATGGTGCAGCTATAAACACAGGTTTCAAAAGTTGATAATGGGGTATGACAGAAAGTGAAGGCATTTATGTGACAATAATATGCTGCTATTAAAAATATGGTGTGCTGTACAAAGAAGTGCTTTAGTTTGGGAAAATTTAACTTCCAATTTTATTGAAGTAAAAAAATAATTGAAATTTGTTCTTCTATTTCAACATATTTTCATAAATCAGGTTTACGGACAAAAGAATTAAATAAAATAGCAAAAAATAATTTGAATATTGTTTATTTACCAAAATATTTTGAAATCAGATGGACAGAGTTTATATATGATTTGCTTCAAGCTATTTTAATAAATTGGTATGGTTTGGTATTATACTTTACTCATGAACAAAATGATAGTACATGTGCTGGATTTTTAAAATTATTGACTAATTACGATAAAATGCAACTTTCATGTATTTTTATTGATCTTGTTTATTTATATTCACAATTTCAATAATTGATTCAAAGTGATAATATTCTTATTTTTTGATATTCAAGATCATGCATCTGCACTTAAAACTAGAATTGAATCATTAAAAAATATTGCTCTTCCAGGTGGTTGGGAAGAAACTTTTCTGAAATTATGTATATCTGATTCCTCAAAATTTGAAGAAAATAATGATGGAACATATTATTCCTTAAATGGAATTTCATTATATAAAACATGCACTACTCAACATCGTTGAAGAACTCATCATTTATTCATAAGTGACCACAGACTATTTGAAGCTATAAGATATGAAATATTAGAGTCATTACTTAATTATTTTGATGAGAGATTAGATTTAAGTGAATGGATAAACATAAAACCTTTAAGCAGTCTAAGCAACGATTATACCGATTTGGAATTAAAAAATTGCTATAAAAAAATATGCCCAGATTTTTCTTTGATTTTATGTCATCGTATCGTGAAGCATCAGTATGTGAAGAGTTTAAAAATAAAAAGATTTCTATAGATATACTTAAAAACTATTAAAATGTGATGAATAGAAATCTTTGACGATATGTATTGCACATATTTTAGCAGCAAAACCTCATAGTGCTGATGTTGAGATACTCATATCCTACTATAATATTTTAAAAACATCCATCATATCATAATTATCTCCTGAAACAATTAAAGATTCATTGTATGTGAAACTAAATATGACAACTGTTATTAATTTTGACCCATTACCATCTGTATTGTGTTGGTTAGCAGAAAAATATTCCCATGGAAAAGTTCACCCATTAGCTAAAATACAAAAATGGTATCAAGGTGTTTTTGAAGAAGCTTCTACAAAAGATAAGTATTTTAGTACAGATAACCATCAGGGACATCAAAATAAAAGAATCCATTTTTAAATTCATATTTTAATTTTTTTTTTTTCATAATAAAGCAACTGTGTTAAATATAATATAGAAACATTTTAATTAATTATAATTTTGTTGTTTTTTTTTTTTTTTACTTATGGTAAATATAGTACCTAATATTCAAAAGTTGGGTCAGCATGACTCTATACTTCTATTGTGTATTTCAGATTTAAAAACATTATATTTTTAATTTGTTTGACTGATCTAGACTTAAAAAAAAGCAATATGCCTACATTTTAAAAAAGGGTAGTCAATAAAAATTTTCATTTAGATAAAATAACAGTTATATGGTTCTCATAATGTTGTAACTTATAATATAATATGTCTGATTTTCTTTTCTTATTAAAGTTTGGGATCTAAAGTAATAGCAGAAATGCAAATGTTCCATAAGCCTAATTCAAGATCATCCTGGACACTACCTGAAAAAAATTTTGCAATAAATTTATACTATAAATCACCAGCTAC